GCTCAGAAGCCCAGTCGGTGAGGCAGCAGTGAGCTGAGCCTCACCTGGGATTGATCAACCTCTCGCTAACTGCGCTGGCTGCCATTCTGTGAGAGCATGCTCCTCCTGTCTGTACGTCGCCAATAAAATGGCTAAAAAAACATTTAAAATATGGACTGATTTTTCATAATTTTGCTTATAATGTACATGGGTTTTTTTACTGCCACCAACTGTGTATCGTGTTTCGCTTCGCGTGCGGAGGAGCGATCATAAACGGCAGAGGACAGATCCGAGGTGAGGATCATGGCAGGGGGCGCTCATGATCCCAGATATTGTAACTCTATTGTAACAGAGTAAGAGACAGTAACAGCGAGCTAGCGATACAGATAACAGTAGCTTGATTGAGATAACGGAATTACTCTACGGCGGCAGTGCCGCCCTGCATGACATGTAAAAGAATATAAAAGCTAAGATGTTGAAATAGTTTTGGAGTTGAATAAATTTCACTTCCTGTCACTTCTGGTTTCAGTCTCTTCAGATAAAAAATAAAACAAAAACCTTTAGTGTTCTGAAGAGGCGGAGCTTACCTGGTTGCTGGTGGCAGTCACACAGACCTCAGAGTCTGAAGGAAAAGTGTCAGAGCTGAACGTGTGGATGAGTGCAGAACAAACCTGCAGGTCATATTTAAGCACAAAGGTCACTGAATGCAGCTCAGTTACTTTCTCTTAGGGAATGAAATACCAAGCAAATCACTTACAGATGGGCTTGGTGGTTTGTAGCCTAGAGTCAACGTGTGGATGACCTCTTTGTTGTCGTGGAAACCGGCTTTAGACTCCAAAATGTAGAGGCCTTTAGCAAGGTCCACAGTGAAGGTTTCCCGCAGAAGAAGAGTCTGAGGAAAGTTCTGGAAGGGCTGTCTGTGAGATGGCAGCTGTTACTTCCTGCTTGCAGGTAAACTGCAGCTAATTTGGTGACGATGATGCTGAAGTTGGCATATGATTCACAGCTTCAGGTTCCAATACCAGCTGATCACCAATGTCTAAAGTTAAGGATATTGGTGCCAATGTATCTGTACGTTCATAGTTGGTATCTGAATATACAGAATAATCTGTACAGATGACAGATTATAGAAATCATACTTTGGGGTTTGTGAAACCTTTTTGATGACTATAGGACTGATTTTTAGGGTATTTTCTTTTGGCTTGCCACCACTTTAAATGGGGTTCATCTTAAAAAGTACAAGAGCCACACATAGAATACAACACTGTTTATGTTGCATTACAAACAAACAGAGTTATTCCACGCTCATGAGAAATTCGATAAAACACGTTTGCATTTGAGAAACTTTGATCAACTTTATGACTTACATGAGATTCAGCTGTGAAACCTGTGCATAATTATTCTGTGCAATTGACTCTAGAAAATAAATACTGGTTTGCAATGTTTGGGAAATAACAGTAGCTGCATTTCTATTACAAAACTTTAATATTCCGCTAATGTCGAAATAACACAATTTCGTAACTGCTGTGTTTCCATTAAATAAAAAGCACAATTAAAATTACACATAAATGAGTTTGTTCACATGGTATATAATTAAAAATCATTCTTTGAAATCCTCCAACTTCCTGTTGTCTTCTTCGAGATTTGTGCAAGTGGCAGCATCCAGTTGTTGATCATGTGACTCGTGATGTGAAAAAAAACGTGTTTCATTTACAGCTTCGTGAAATAAACCAATTTCAATCTGGCCCAAAAGACTTATGTTATCCTAGCAGCAAAATTTTATCAAAAAAATAAGTTTTTTTTTTTTAAATTGGTGTTTCAATTAATTTTCAAATTGTTCAATTGTATGGTCAATGGAAACACAGTTATTATGTTTTGTACAATCTGTCATTTGTGTAAAGAAATTCTGCTTAAGCGTCGTTTTCAACCTGGACCTGATCTAAAGTGGTAAAACAGACTCAGAAATTTCACTTATTTCAGATTTTACAAGTTAAACGAAATAATTCTGTTTAAGATAAAACATTCAAGTGCTGAATCAGAAGCTGTCAATCAGATTCTAACTTCAGCTTCAACGTTCAGAGGGGGATTCGTCCTCCAGACTGAAACACACACCTAAATTGGAGTTGGGCTGCTTTCTGATACATCTTCCTGTCCCTCCTCAGCTCCTCCACCCATCCCTCTAACTCCACTTCCATGGTCGGACTCTTCGGCTTGGTGATGCCCATCTTTAATATCGCCTGCCTCTTCTTCAAATTCTTCAACATGTCCGTAAACAAAGACGGCTTATGAGGACGTTACACAAGCAGCAAAAAGACTGACACAATTATACTGTAAATAAATGAGGCTCTCCCAGCCCACTGTCTCCACCCACCTTATCAGCACCGCTTACAGCAGCAGTGAAGCTGACATTTTGCCTGCCACATGTGGCGCTCATCAGCAGGGCGTGGCTGGATTTAGAGCTCTCCAGAGAGACGTTCGCCTTCAGAGGAGGAGTCCAGAGTGAAGCTAAGGAGCCGTGGGCTTTCACCGCCTGCTTCTCCACCGCGCCCCAAACCTCCGCCTGGAGAGACACACAGATTATGAGACATCAAAGTAGGGCCGGACGGTATGGCTTCAAAATAAACCTCCCCCTTTTTTTAATCCAATATTTGATTCCTGATTTTAATCTATTTATTTTGCCTCCTAACTTTTATTCATTAGAAGGGGCAATATTATGTATTTTCCAGGCACATTTTATAGCACAATCAAGTAACTGTGTTACCTCCAGTGGCTAATAAAAATGCTACACATGTCAAATATGACAAAAGAAAATTTACTTTTTAATTCAATGACTTGAAAATGGGCATCTGTCTCTTTAAAAACTGCTCTATGAAACTGTACCATCATGAAGTTATCACAATGTGACTTCTCTATTGACCTTCTAATAACGTTTTTACCAGTGTTGTTATACTGAGAAGAAGCTCCGATAATGAGCTCAGTAGGTGCACAGTTCCACCAGGTGTTTGCTAATTGCTGCTGGCTAGTCTGAAGGAGCCGAGTGGGAGAGATGTGGCGGAGGGCTGCTCTTTGAGGCAGGAGGTGGGAAGTTTGGAAACTGCAGCTTCATGTTGAAAACTTACTTGTAAGATAGTTTTCTCTTATCTGAAGTGCACTAAGGTATTTGCACTCAAAAAACTGACCCAAAATACTTGGTAGGATTTTACTAGTGCCGGGAGCTTGAATTCAAATGCATGCCAAACTTTTCATGTACTTATAAAACATCTTGCCATCCTGTGTTACGACCCCAATGTTAAAGGCAGGAAAATGTGAAAGATGCACATCTCTTCAAGGCACCATAAGTCACTCGGCTGTTACTGTTCAGCTCATGTGTGTTTTACCTGGATGTAGGTAGCAGCTGGTGTGTGGGCCTCCAGGCGCGCTGCCTTCTCTCTGCCCCGGTCCCTGTAGAACCCATCCAGAACCAGGTTGCGGATGCTCAGCCACTTGCTGGCCGTCAGTTCCGAGGTGAGCTGCAGGGCATGGCGGTTTGGCCGGCTCAGCCTGTAGGCGGCGTAGATGTACTGTCCAGGTGTGTCCATGCTGAACGTGCCTGGACGGAAACACAGAGGTAATGGTCAGCGGGTTGGATGCAGGTGCTTAGTTGTTCCCCACATCCAAATACACACGACGGTGTCACACACCTTCCCATTTCTTATGAAGGGAGTTTTCGGGGGGGCTCTTCCAATGTAACCCCGCCACCAGAGGCATCAGGCTGTTGTAGTTGATTTTTAGGTGAGTGCTGCTCTCAGAGCCGTGCTGCAGCAGGCGAGAGTGCATCAGCTGAGTCCTGTAGTTCAAGTTCTTCTCAGGCACCTGGAGGTTAAACTGGAAAGGAAAGAACATGTCACCTTTTGGAACACAATTTATAAATAAAAAAACTGAATAAAATAAGGAGTATTTACCTCCAATGTGTAACTGGTGTGGTTTTGTGTGGACTGGTTTTTGAAGGACTGACTGAGGAGCAGCGTGTATTTGTTGTTGATCTCGTCCCAGTGTTTGCCGTAGCTCAGGTCCAGGACGGATTTGATGTGGCTGGGGCTTTCTTCGTGCTTCATGTGGATCTGTTCACAGACATCTAGATCACTTCTCATTGTAACACATTTCTATCAGAATGACTCAAGAATTATAAGGTTTAGCTCGCTTGGTTGTCAACATGGCTCCTCTATTAACCTTGTAACAACGTTTTTACCAGCGTTGCATTGAGAAGTAGCTCATATAGTGAGTTCAGTTGATTCATAGTTTCACCAGGTGTTTGCTAATTGCTGATGGTTAGTCTGAAGGAGCTGATTGGGGCGTTGTGGGGGAGGGCTGCTCAGTGAGGCAGAAGCTTGGAAACTGACTCGAAGGTGGAGCCAGGTTCACCCAGGTGTTTTACTCAGCTGAAAGGTTGGTTGCCACAAGAGATTAAAGGATTTTGTAAACATGCATGAAAGAATCAAACCAACACTTCAGGTATGTTTTTGAGGAGAGATATTATAAAAGTAGTTTTTACCCAATTCTGCCCCTTTAAAAAGTAAAGTACATATATATGTTAAAAAAAGATTTAGTTACATTAAGACTTGCTCAAGGTGCCAATAATTGTGCCATCAGCTTTTTAAACAATTAGTTGGTATTTTCTCATTTTCAGTGTTAAATGATGCTGTTGCCATAAAAGTTACATTTGTCTTAAGCTTCTTGCACGTCTTTCACCAGATGTCCTGCTGTGTGTTCAGTGTCACCTTGTGGTTGATGGGTTCCATGTTAGTGCAGTAGAATTCATGATCAGCTCTCATGATGTACGTGAGGTTGGAGTCCCTCCCTCTCCTCAGTCTCTGGGATGTGTAGCACTCCTGATGCAGGTTCCTGGAGTCCCCTGTGAGGACGGAGAAAACACACATTATAGAAAACTGACCATAATGACAATCATTACATATTGTGCCATAATTGTGGAGCAGGTGTCTGCAAAGGTCTGGACCATAAATGTATTATTTTTGTTAGTTTTCTTTTTTTTAAATCCTCAACTTGTTACACAGTGGTTGGCACACTTTCGCTCATCCACTCATGTGCCAAAAGCGAAGCTAGTTTTTCATTTAGCACTTTTGTGTTTTTCCTAACGATAAGAACATTTGGCGCACCTTAGCTTCCCCTGAATTCATTTTTCCAGATATATTCTGAAACACTAATTTACTTGGCTGTTTTCTAAACCTTCAGTTGACATCTGTGTTGAAGTTTTTTTTTTTTTTTTTTTCAACTCTCAGGACTTCTTCCGTTAGCTAGACGTTTCTGCTCATGCTCTTATTTTGACGTGCGCAAAATCTATTTTGCAGTCCTGTTCTCTCTCTTCACATTCTCCAGTCATCAAATGACATTTATTCTGTACCCATAAGCATCACTGTAGAACATAGTCAATAGTTTTATTGTAAACAGTTTAAAATCCACTGAATGTTTTGTTTATTTTACTTTCACATTAGTTCTGGCCAACAGGTAGCAACCAAAAAGTTGCATGATTAAACTGCCCTATGTATTTTCTGACCAAATAACAATTAGCCAAAAATACTCAACGAATATGAAAGTAAAATTATGTGTGAAAGGTCCAAAAAGAATCACAACTATATGTTCTCAATAACAAATTTATCCCATGTATCAGGTTGAATTTAGCATGTTAGTATTAGTTTGGCTAAATGTTGTTTTAACCTACTGTTGTAGCATTAGCAGAGCTAATGTTTATGATTAGCGCTTATAACTACCTGAACTAACCCTTTAGCTGGCAGTGCCCACCACCACATATTTATTTTTCATAGATTTTACATTTTAAGTAGTTTCTAATGCAAATCAAAATTAATTTTCACAACATACTCTACATGTAAACTGAAACCCTCATTTCAAGATGGCAGCTTGCTGCTAACACTGCGGTGGTCATAATCTGTTCTCACCTCTCAGCCCATATTTGACCCTAAGGATGGAGCTCCACAGCGCCCCCTTCTGTTCCATCAGTCCCAGCATCCTGCTGCCCACTAGTCCAGGTAAGAAAAGCTCCGCCTCCACAGAGTACTGGCTGCTGCTGCTGCTTAGGTCTTGCCGCCGCTCCAGAGCCACTAAACAACACACAGCTGCTAGTTCTGTGGCATCTGTAAAAGCAGATGGACGTTTTCAGGACCTGAAAGCAGCAGAGTGTCACCTGAGAGCGAAGCCGTCTCTCTGAACACGTTCTTCAGAGTAGCGGAGAGGCTGCTCTTCCTGCCCAATCCACGGGTAATATTAGCAGACAAAATCACGGGGCGTTGATCGGCGGCCATCTTAGCTTCCAGGTGGTAGCGCGTTCTCTCCTCTGACTGAAGGCTAGTGCTGTCCACCAAACCCTGCAGAGACAAGAAAAAAGGCTACGTTTAATCGATTCTCAACAAATATACCTCCAAACTTTTTATATAATACTTACCATGATATAAAAATGGACATTGTCAATTATAAGCTCAAGCTTCCCAGATTTTATATTCATCTCTTGATCAAACTGACCTAAAGAAAGATAGAAAGGACAAGTCTTAAGAGGCTCGATATCTGAGAAACCCCCGAATCCGTTTCATGCTTCCTCTGGATCTGACCCTGTAAGACAATGGTTTTCTGTGGGTGTTTGATTCTCAGCAGCACTCTGTGGGAGCTGAAGGCCAGGTCCAGAGACATGTCCCTGGGAATGGAGGACTGGGGCGTGGCAAGGAGGAGGTGGATGGAGGCCTCTCTGGGTAGCCAGGTCCCCCTCTAGGTTAAAACAGGACAGACAATGAATAAAGTAGCTCTTTTACGGCATAACTAAGGGTGTCCTTTACAACGCATGAAGATGACCCATCAACATTACAACTCTGTTTCACAGTTTGATACATTGCAACCACAAAGTAAACAACAGTGTAACTTGCTAAATGCAGATATTAAACATACTTTTAATTTGGCATACATTTCTGTTTTCAATAATGTTTTATTTTTGGTCGAACGTAATATTTCAATTTCAAACGTCATGTTTTTGTGAGCTATATGTGGAAAATCATAATAATTGACAGAAACAAAGGCTTTCAAACTGTTTCAGTCAGTGACAAAGTTCCTAAAATAAATGAGCTTTTCAATAATATCCTAACTTATTGAATGGGTGAGTAGTAACAGTGTATGCATACCTTGTAATGTAATGAGTAAGCAGCCTCCAGCAGGTAGTAGTGGAGGCCTCTGTCCAGCTTCAGCAGTCGGAGCGACAGATGGGCCGGTCCAGTGGGGGGCAGAGCGACACCAGAGGGAAGTGAAGGGTATGACACATTGGAGCACAGCTGCCAGCCAATCAGTTTAGACCCTGCAGGACACCATAGTTCACTTACAAAACACAACGTTAGAAAACAATGGGAGAATATTGGAAAATATGTTTAAAAAAAATGCAACTTTTATATGAGTGTGGACAGTGTGAAGTAAAGATATTGTTTAGGTTTAGTTAGCTGTGGAATAGTGAGAGAGACAGCAACTTTCTGATTCAAACCTTTATGAAGTCTATTTTGATTCAGCTGCTTCCATTTTTTTAATTCATTTCTTTTTTTTTAATCAATTTAATTCTCCTTGCATGGTATAACTTATATAATGAAATGACAATAGAGTGATATGATGGGTTCATTAACAGATTGATAGACTTATAGATATTAGTATGGATTCAGCGAAAAACTTTTTCAATTTGTATTTTCAAACTTTGATTTGAAAATACAAGTTTTGGACTTCTCTGCTGCCTTCTCTCTATGTTTCTTTCCCCCCATTGAAAGAAAATGTGTGTATCGAGTCAGAACTAACCCAGTGTCTCTTTAGTAGAGAAGGTAACACTGATGATTCATTTAGGATCATTTTAGCAAAATAGCAGAGAAAGCAGAGAAGGTAAAGCCATGACTACAAACTCACAGCTTTTCGGCGTGCAGGTGGTCTTCTGGATCCGACTCTTTGGTCCCTTCATCTCCTCCCTGTGGTCTCCGCTGAGCTGAAACACTCTGGAGCTGGACAGCATAGAGGTTGCATGTCAATTTTCAGAAACAATGGGAATGTAGCTGTGACGCTAACTGTATCAGCGCTACAACAGTGCCACCTTTAAATTTTAAATTATTTATCAATATATTTGTGTAAGCATTGAAAATAAAGACTGTTCTACTCTAGAGTTTAAAATGATAGGGCTCTCACTTTAGATTTCTCTGAGGTATAGTGGCCCTTCCCTTTAACTGTCCAGTATACGGCACGTACAAATAGTTTAGTGGCCCACTGTTGGAACTAGTAGCCTCTTTTGCATCACAGTTAGACAATAACCACACAACCACAAACCCACCATTAAGGATCACTTTGTCCTCTCACGTCATACAAAGTATGACGGCCATAATCACATCTGTGAGCATTCAGACAATGCAGTTGGGATTGTGGAATCAAAGAGCCTGCTGGGAATTTTCTCTTGGCTACGCTCTGTGTCACCATCCTCAAATACGCTGTTCAAATACATTTAGTGTTTTCTACAGACGTCATGTGTGCAAGTGGAGGGCAAAAAATGGCTGGCCAACAATGACTACCACTGGTTTTAGCTGTCAGCGTCACTCGCTAAATATTAAATGTACGTGTGATACATGAAGGAAAAAGCATCACAGTGCTTTGCTATTAATTGTCAACATTATGAGCACTAGACATCGAGGTCACGAAAAAGTTTTATTAAAACAAAAAATGGTGACGGAGAGGGGAGTGGGTTAGTTATGCTGGCTTGACTTTGACAATCTTAACATGTTGAATCCTGATGCACTAGTGGAGCTGGTGACAGTCAGTTACTATGGCAACAGGCAGTGTTGTGTTCAAGACCACCTAACCCGAGACCAAGACAAGACCAAGACCAGAGTGTATCGAGACCGGGACAA